GTTTTCAGTCTGTCGAGAAAGAGGAGACATTTGTGGCCTCGTGCCTTTTTATATCTTGGCCCCAGCTGCGTCGGCGTCATCCAGTAACACCCACGACGCAATGAATTGTGGGCAATTTCTTAGCCAAAGTCCTCAACGGTACGGACTTACGGAAAGGGTGCAGAAAGGGGCGTTCCCGAGCCCTCGCTGACTTACCGATTTCATTTGGAACAACCCTCAAGCCCTTACAGAGCTCACATGAGCGCGCACCTAAGTCAATGAGTCAGTGAGGGGGTGGTTTGGAATTGGGCCTATATATAGTCCTTGTCTTCTCCTGTTTCTTTGTCGGTTCATTGTATGTCGGTTCCTCTGAGTATCTCCAGTGTCTTTGTGGATTTTTGGTTCAGTTGGATTTTGCCTCGTGTTTTTTGTGGGGATTTTTGTGTTGGACATTTGAAAAGTAAGTTGTTGTTAGTTGTTTAAGTACCTTTTAAATAGATCCTTTGTTGATCTGCATTTGGGGTCCTTTCCCTTTCTGTTACACCCTGAAACATGACCTTTTGTAGAAATATTTATATCCAACCAAGACTGAAGTAAGATTTAACAAAAGAACAGTTAAATTTAGCTTGAATCAGGTCTATAAAGCGACTGTAGGTTAAGTTAATAGTCTTAAAAAATGTCCTGATAACTGTTTTTTCTAAGCTGTCCTGTCTGACATGTGTGAATCTGTGTGTTTATCCTGTAAATGTCGTTTCTACTCTGGATTAGAGTGTTTCTCCTCAGGTATATTCCCTCATTTATAAAGTAACAGTAACCCTTTTCGGAGGACTTCAGTCCACCCTGAGAAAACTCCTCTCTGTTGAACTGAGATTGCCTTTCTTCATCGTTTCACTAATGATCCTCCGCCTCCCAAAGCGGGGGTTTTCTGTGTTTTAATCCGTGTTGATCTCTCCTCTCGCTTTGATGCTGTTGAGGACAAACTGTAAATCTTTTCCCTCCTCTTTAAAAATATCCACAGGCAGTGAAAACACTGAAGTGAATCCTCCTAATTTCTCACTTAGATGACAGATGAGAGTTTGGTTTGATTTTCTAAAATAACTTTTTGATGTATGGAGTCTTTATTTTAGACGTCTCATCAAAAATGATGTCAGAACAGCTGTTTCAGTGTTTATTCATATTCATATTTCTGTTATGATTACTCAGTAGGAAGACATTCGTCATTCCTTTTCCTTAGGGAACGACATAAAATTTTATTTTTATTCTCTGTGCAAATATTTAACAAAGTCATAGAAACTTCTATGAAACAATACAAACACATTAACAAACAGATGTTCTTCAAAGAGAGTCGATTCAAAGTGAAACTGATGAAGTTTTTTATTTTTCTTTATTTTTTAATTATCCTTTATTTTAGCAGGGAGGACCTATTGAGACCCATTTTCATGTGTGCCCAGCAGCAATACAATAAAAAACAACAAAATAAAAACATAAACGACAAAAACTATAAAAATAATTAGACACATTTAAATATAAACACTCATCCTGGCAAACCTGCAACATTTTTATGGCTTCACATTATAAGACAGGTGCAGACACAGATTATTAATTTAATTTATTATTAATTTGATCAGCTGTTATGCTGTGAACTGTCAGACCCTCTTATATAGACTGAGCTCGGTCTGTTTACTGCCAAACTAATAACTCATGCTTCTTCATATCGTGTTTCAGACTGTAATTTCTTTCTTTTTCCACTTTCAAAAGCGTTTTGTACTTTTCACCTGGTCCCAGTCCTTCTATATTCCTTTTAAACTCTGTTATTTAGTTGTTTATACTGGCATCCGTATCCCTGCCTCTCTGTGTTTCCCCGAGGACCCTGAAGAGTTGACCCTTCGGCCGCTCAGAGAGATACAACAAAACACAGAGAAGCAGCGTTTTGTTTCAGAGCTGAGATAATCTCCCACTCCAACTCTGACCACCTTTTAAAGCTTTTTCACTCCGTTTACTCTCTGACAGACACAAACTTGACTTTAAAATCTTATTTTTGTCATTTAGCAGAAGCTTTTATCCATAGTGATGTACATACGAGAACAAGAACACCAGAAGAAAAGATCTAAAGGAGCAAGAGGAGTTCATCATAAACATCCACCAACATGCTTTATTTGTAATTAAACATCATTAATTAATCATCAATAGATCTAAAGTTAGACTCAAACATCTCCGTCAATCTAATGCCTGTTATTCTACCATGATGGTTTTGTCTCGTCTTTAATAATTGATGGACTCGGAGAGCAGACTCCCTGTTGTGACGTAGGAGGATCTGAGGAATACGAAGTCTGAGGCGAAACGGTTTAAAAATCCTGAAACAGAAACTTTCAGACATACAAATGAGTCGGTTTTTACTAGAAATGAAAGTTTAACTGATTTTCTATCCAGCAGAGAACTTAAGACTGCAAATGAGTTTCAGCCACAACCACGATTTAACAAACTTGTAACAGAATAAAATCAGTCATCCACAAAATAGTGGAATCAGCCTTTAAAGCTTCTTAATCAGAGTCTGCAGCCTCAGAGGAGTTCGTAATGATTTCTTGAGCTCTCCCTTGTCTTCCCCCTTCTGGGATTTCTTACTTAGTTAACAGTCCCCCCTGGCTGTTCACTTTGTGCACGTCTATGTGTGTGTAACTGTGTGTGTGTGTGTGTGTGTGTGTGTGTGTGTGTGTGTGTGTGTGTGTGTTTAAAGGGTAAGAGAAAGCAAATGAACTATCCCATCTCACACTGGATAATTAGAACAATCAACCAAGCGCTGAAATGGGAAGAGAGTCTCTGAGTCCAAACTTCTTTACAGACAGGTAAAAGTTTCAAGCAGGAATCACTCTTATGGAAACGACACGGACAGACAGCAGTGATTTTAACCCTTTAAATGAGTTACTGCATTATTTACTGTGCACAGCTGAGGAAGCGTTTCTTTAGTCTTTGAGTTTTAAACAGTTTCAGGAGCTGAAACGTATGAAAATCAGACGTGCTGAGAGGCAAAAAGACCATGTGACAGACACTATTCACAACATACAGAGAGGGGGAGAGCTAAGAGGAGCTCTTTCACTTACTGATTGACAAACTCATAAGGATAATGAATGCCTTAACGTCTTAACGCAGCCGTTGTCTATGTACTGAAACACTGGACTGTTGCAGCTGCAGGCGCCGTGCTCACCTTGGCGTTGTCACGATATGTTCAATTTGAGTTTGTTTTTCCCTGGTTTTGTCTTTCGCTAGAGTGTATTTTCTTTGTGATTTGTGTTTCTGTTCCCCTGTAGTTCTGTCTTGTGTCCTGTTACAGACCTCCACACATGAAGATAAAAAATCAGACATCGTGTTTTTCTGTTTCTTTTGTTCCACTCAGTCTTTTTTTTTTTTTTTTTTTTATCCTCAATCATCAGATTTTGGAAAAGAACGATGGGATATTTTGTTGAGTGAAAATGTTTCATCTCTCAGGATTAACAAGTTATGAAACAATCATGTGTCGCCCCCATGTGAGCGCGCACACTCGCTTTAGTGTTTCTCTTCCTGACACAATAATAATGATCATCATCCCTGCTGCTGCTGCTGCTGCCGGACTTATCGACAACCTGTCTGTGTTTTTAACATGAAAAATCCTGGGAGCTTTTTATTTTCCAGGATCTCAGGATGATGTTAATTCTTGTTTCTGTTTTATGAAACATCTGTTCCTCCTTCTCGGGTCACTTCAGCGTTTTGTTTCTCTGGTTTTCTGTCTGATTTTCGATGTTCGGTCCAAATGCTGCGGTGATTATCTGCACTCTGTGTCCACTTGTTGAATGCATCTCTCCAACAGTGATTTCAGACCCGCTGATATGATTAAGCCTCTTGTCGAGCTGCTTGCGTAATTTTTGTTTGTAGATTTTCTCCCACTTCAATCAGATGAACTCCAAACAATATTCAACCAGCTGGACGAAAAACCAGCTCTTCAGCATGTGAAGTAACTGGAAGAACCGTCCAACTGATTGGTTGATGAATCACTTTGTCAGAGAAGAAGATTATTTTGGGGACTTTTTGTTTTCATTTATTTATTTATTTATTTAATTTGTGAGGAGAGAATTAAGTCCTGTCAGGATCAGGAATCGTACAACTCCTGCAAAACGCACGATAAAGCATGATTAAAAAACTAACTGCAATGACAGAAATCATGTGTGTCTGCAGATCTAGTTGCTGCAGATTTACACCCCATATCCGGGACCTCAATTGTAGGACTCCTGTTGTTTGCAAATGCACCACCTTGTGCAGTGGATTGCAAACTCTAACCCCCAATTTCCACCACATCTGGAACAGCTACGAAAAAGCCATATCCTCCGATCGTAGTTGATTGTAACCATTCCGTGTCAATTTCCAGCGGCGTCTTCCACAGCTAAACGCAAGACTTCTATTTTTTCCAAATGCCGGAGCATGCTGGATAAATTCAGCACAGATTAACCCGTGCTGGAAAGGAAGTCGGGCACAAACACAAAATAAACATCCGACTTCTTTTCAAAATAAAACACTGTGTTTCAGGAGGATCGTATTTCCCACCATGCAAACGGGCGGAGACAGACAAGTGAAAGGTTTTTAGACGTCATTTCACCCCGATGACACCATGGATGAGGAGATGCTGATTCTAGAAGTCTAGAAGTAGATTTCCTCCTCTGGAAGGACACAATCTACTGCTGATATGGTTAGTCTATGTGGCTAAGAGACAACTTGTTATCACGCGATTGCACGTAAATCCACGGGTTCTTGTGAGTTCTTGTGATTCCTGCCGTCCGTAATCCGGTAGGAATTGCTGTACAGTCAAAATCGCTGTCGTTCCGGATCAGAGCCGTTCCAGATGAGGTGGAAATCCCGGGTAATCTTTGCTACAACACAAGGGTCAATCCCAGTTGACAACGATGTTCTGTGTCTGCAGATTCAGGCTCCACAATTCTAGATTCCAGCTCGTTCATGTCTCGCCTCTTAAACCAGACGTACCCTGTTCTCTCTTC